AGGAGGAGGAGGAGATTGGATTTATACCCCGCCCTTCACTTGGAGTCCCAGAGCGGCTGACAAACTCCTTTCCCTTCCCCTCCCCACAACAGACACCCTGTGAGGTAAAAGAAGAAGAAGAGACTGGATTTATGCCCCGCCCTTCACTACCCAAAGGAGTCTCAGAGGGGCTGACAAACTCCTTTCCCTTCCCCTCCCCACAACAGACCCCCTGTGAGGTAAAAGAAGAAGAGGAGGAGATTGGATTTATACCCCGCCCTTCACTACCCAAAGGAGTCTCAGAGGGGCTTACAAACTCCTTTCCCTTCCCCTCCCCACAACAGACACCCTGTGAGGTAGGTGGGGCTGAGAGAACTCTGACACAAACGGCTCTTTTTCAAGGACAGCTGTGCCAGAGCTTGTGACTGACCTAAGGTCACATCAGCAGGTGCAAGTGGAGGAGTGGGGAATCAAACCCGGTTCTCCCAGATTAGAGTCCGCACACTTAACCACTGCACCAAACTGGCTCTCAATCCAAAGCATGGCAGGTGAATCAATATGGTTATCCAAGATGGCTTCAGGCTGGTGGAAATGAATCACACCCTTCCTAGCATAGGCCCTCGACTGGCAGCCCTTTTGCTCTGCTGCCTTTGTAATGCAAGTGACAAATCATATATGCTCCCCCCCCCACCCCAAATCATGTGGCCTCACTGGCTTTAAAGGCCAGAAATAGCTTTAAATATTTAACATTCCAGGGCTGGTTCCCAAACGGCCAAGTTAGTCCGTGCGAAAGGCATTCCCCCTGTTCCCTGCCGGCAGAACTGTTCAGAACCAGATTATGTGACTGAGCAATTCCCCCACCATGTTGTCGTCACCCAGCTGTCTTCACCCAAGGAGTGATTAACACATGGAATTCACTGCCACAGGAGGTGGCGGCGGCTACAAGCATGGACGGCTTCAAAAGGGAATTAGATAGGCATATGGAGCAGAGGTCCATCAGTGGCTATGAGCCACAAGGTATAGATAGGGGCTCTGGGGCAAGTGATGCTCTGTCTTCTTGGTGCTTGGGGGGGTCAACAGTGGGAGGGCTTCTAATGTCCTGGCCCCACTGGTGGACCCCCTGATGGCACTGGTATTTTTGGCCACTGTGTGACACAGAGTGTTGGACGGGATGGGCCTTTGGCCTGATCCAACATTGGCGTCTCTTATGTTCTTATGATGGAGCTTGGATCCAGCAGCAACAT